CCCCAAAACCCCAAAACCCCAAAACCCCAAAACCCCTTTTAGATAAAAGATGACTGAGAATTAGTAAATATTTCATTTATGGCATAGTAGACACTTTCATTTCAGCTAGTTCTTTCTGGATCTGTTCTTCCTTGATCTCTCTCTTTTTCTTGGGCTTTGTATCAATACATTCTTCTTTGGACTCTTCTGGGTCTCGACTGTTCTCTCCATGATCTTCAAGTTCTTTCAAAGCTTCGATCTCCATATCTTCATCTGGGTCATTTTTCTTATTTTTAGCTTGCTTGAGATTCTCCTTTTCTAGGCCTTTAACTAGGATATCAACTCTTCTTTGGAGCTCTTTTTCAGTTCTAGAGAGGAGGAGATGGTCAAATCTTCACTTAGTCTCCTGTCTTAGAGCTTTCTTGATCTTCCCCCAATTTCCATACTTGAACTTATGAGTGAGGCAGAGCAAGATCACATCTGATTCTTTAGAGAAGAATTTTGACTTCTGTGTAGGGTAGATCACCATCTCTTCGATAGGGTCTTCGTAGGCACTCACTTTCCTTGCGATCAAGTCTGGAGCTCTGCTTTTGAACTCAAGGAGCTTGGAGGTTTTCTCAAGAATGACTTTTACTCTCTTAGCATCGCTGAGTTCTTCCATTCTTTTGAAGAATGGACCTGAATACTTCTCGACTTGTTCAGCAGTCTTAGACTGAAGGTACTCTGCGATAGCGTTGTAGTCATCTGGTGCAAACATTTCGAGGGCTTGGACATATCTGAAGTATTCCTTTCTATCCCACTCATTGAAACCAGTCTCAAAGATTTCTTTCTTCTCATTTTGCTCTTCTTCAGTCAACCTGTGTTTTGGCTCGAACTTTCCTTCCTGCTCTTTTTCTAGAAGTTCTCTGAGTCTTTTCGGTTTTGAGTAGAATCTGTAATCTTGGACAGAGATCTTCTTTTTCTTGGTACCTTGACCAACGATGTTTAGGTTGGGAAACATCAAAGACTCGTTGAGGTTCTTGTTAGCCTTGTGTTTGTCTCTTCTACCAACTTTGACTTGATCATCTAACATTTTTACAACGTTGTCCTGAATGACCTTCTTTTGTTCTTCTCTTCTCTTTTCTCTGTAGTCTTCGTCCTCGAAATCGAAGTAGTGGCTCGGCTTCATTTCAAAATTGACCATGTCAAATTTGTTCTCGTCAATTTTATCTTCTACTTTATTTTGAAGTTCATTTGCATTATCAAGTCCTTTTTGGATAAGTTTTTCAATGTCTTCATTAGTGCAGGAGTCTCCGACTTGGAAGATCTCGTCAGCTCCGTAGTTGACTACATCCTTGAGTTCCTCTTTAGAGAAACCTTGGCCTTTTGTAGCTGCTCTTCCTTTTTGGATAATCACACTATCAAGCTTCAGCTTGAGAGCTTGCTTTTCTACCATCTTCTCCTCAATGGTATTTTCAGTGATAAATCTGAATACTGAAACTGGCTTTTTCTGGCCAATTCTGTGAGCTCTATCCATAGCCTGGAGATCTATCTGAGGGTTCCAGTCTGAGTCATACAGTACAACAATATTGGCAGTCATTAGGTTGATTCCAAGTCCTCCAGCTCTGGTTGAGATGAGGAATACCTTCTTAGTAGAGTTTTCCTTAGTAAACTCATCGATCTGCTCTTCTCTATCATCAAGTTCTGTAGATCCATCAAGTCTGCAGTATTCATAGGACCTAAAGGCACAGTAATCCTCCAAAATATCCAACATGCTAGTGAAAGTGGAGAAGACAAGGACTTGGTTCTCTTCTTCTACTGATTTCTCCATCAATTTATCAAGAACCTTCATCTTGCCACTGACATTGATAATGTGCTCTCCAAAGTCATCGAGTCCCTCCTCCTCAATACCTTCGAATAGATATGGATGGTTGCAGGCTTTTCTAAGTTGCATGACTAAATTCCGGTAAAATGAGAAGGTGCTGCCATTGTCAATAGCAGACTTTGTCAGCAAGTTCCTGTAGATTTTCTTCTGACTTTCAGTCAGACCAACCTTTATATGCATCTCAGTCTTTGGAGGCAATTCTTTTTCAGCTTCCTTTTTAATCCTTCTCAACATGAATGGTCTCAGGATTTTATGGAGCTTCTCGATGACCTTCTTGTTCTTCTCTTCGGTCTCTTTCTCAGTTCCTTTACGGCTGAGATCGAAGAAGGACTGGAACTCATCAGCAGAACTGAACATTTCAGGGACTAAGAAGTTTAGTAAAGCCCATAATTCTTGCAAATTATTTTGCAGTGGAGTTCCTGTCAGCAATAGGCGGTATTTTGAGGATATCTTCCTCAACATTTTAGAAAGAACAGAGGATTCATTTTTCAGTTTATGAGCCTCGTCTACGACAAGATATTGCCAGGCAAACTTTTTCAAATTTGTTCCTCAAATTCTCGCTCCTTCATAAGTTGTCACTCAAATATCGAATTTATCGGGAAGTAATTTAGTTCTTAAAATCTCTTCTCTTTCTTCTTTTCTCGCGATTAGATTGACAACTCTCATCTCAGGTATCCATTTCTTGAACTCTTTGATCCAATTGGGTATACAAGACTTAGGGACGATTACTAGGTAATATCTGTCAAGCTTCTTGTACTGACTGAGGTATGCAATCAAAGATATTGTTTGGATTGTTTTCCCTAGACCCATTTCATCCGCCAAAATTCCGCTTAATCCTTTCTCATACAAATTGATCATCCAGTTGAGTCCGTCCATTTGGTAAGATCTTAGCTTACCTCTAAGCTTGGATGGCTGTGCAATGAGCCTAGTAAGGACATATTGATTGTCAGGATCGCTATCATCTTGCAAATGGGTTTTTCTCTTACTCTCCTTTTTACCTCTTTTTCCTCGTTTTCCCTTCTTACTAGGCGTCTGTTTAGCGTCCTCATACTTATCAGCCAGCATTGAGTGTGTATATCTCTCTGCTTGTTCAATAAGGAGCTTTAGTTTCTGGTCCATTGTGCTTCCTTTCATCCTCTTGAGCAGTTGCATCTGCTCTTGCTTCAGAGTCTCAGCTAGTTTCTCCTTATGTTTAGCTACGCCTTCCATATGCTGTAGTTCTTCCTTCTCTTCTTCCTGCTCCTTCTCTTCAAGCATGTGGATCTGCTCCTCTGGCTGGGAAGAAATGAACTTGGTCTCTGCAAACTCGGGTTCCTTTTCCATTTGTGTTGCAAATTAGTGTTTATAAAATATTGCAAAATCAATTTTTGAACGTAAGCGTGGGGTTTTGGGGTTTTGGGGTTTTGGGGTTTTGGGG